ACGTTCCCCGAAGTTAATACTCAGACTGGGAACATTAAAAGCAAATTCTACATTAGCCGGAAGTTGTGAAATGATATAAACGTGGGTTTGAGTGTTGAAATTATTCTAAAAACCTGATTATCTTGTCACACGTAAGCTCTATAATAGAGCAAGTGTACTTGAGGTCTCTAACCAATGAGGCTAGGAGATATCCCTGCTTGTTTTCCTCCCTTTCAGCATACCCCCTAGGAGACAACGTTCTGGACACGGGGTTGAAGTGTGAGGATCACAAATACTCAATCAACCGTACGCAGTGTTGGAAGCTAAACCCCATCCGGCGACAACAAAACGAACTGGACGCTCGATTGGAAAGAACCATATTCGTCCTGTGCAACTGAACTGAACTGAACTGAACTGATGCTGGGCAGTGGTATTCTCTGAAGTTGAGTGTTGAAAGTTAAGCGTTAGGCTTTACTTTCCGAAATACTATAAGGGATCTGATACTGCACGCTAACATTCTGCCGTTGAGAAACGTCTTTTAACTTGAAGTGTTGGAAGCCAACGAAACCGCCGACAACACAAAGAACTGAACGCGCGATTGGCAAGAGCCGCAATTCGTCCTGGGAGAACTGAACTGGACGTTGCGTTACATTTCATATCTGCGCTACACCGGCTTGTTACGCGTGGTCAAAATCCGGGTGCCTTAATTCGCAGAATTTTATCCAACTTGACTTTGTTTATCGACTTTGTAAGCCTGTGGAATGAATATCTTATATATGCAGATCATGGGTCTTATGTGTCGAACGCCTCCGTGTTATTCTGACCATTGATTGCTCTCCAATTCATAATTTTTCCAACAAAAAAATTATAATTTCCTTATATTGTTCGTGTTAATAAATGATATGAACCCTTCAAAATTAATAATTATTTATCTCTAATGTGAAATTTTTCTAAGGATCGCTGTTTTTGCTCTTATCTTGTTCAACCGAGCAAATATTATCACTGTCATCATCATCATCTGTCACAGGATTTCATCATATACATTTGTTTTACATTTGGTAAATTTTTTATCCTTCTTTTTCCAGTGCCTAACGTTTTCCCCACTGTAACTTGCGGAAATTGCCGAAAATTCATTTTGTTTCGTGCATAAAGCTTTGCTTGACTAGAGACTAGTTTCAAACTATCAAACTGCTTAGGCTTAAGCATTTTATGTAAACCTAGGTTTACATAAAATGTTTCGCTAGTTAAAGGATTTTCTCCAGATTTTCAGATCATCTGGCTGGTCATTGATGAAAATCATCATTATATTTCACACTTGTCTGAGGCCAGACTGTGTACCAAGCAAATCATGAATCAATAATCTTTATAGAGAAGAAAAACGTTCCATCAACTGCATGTGGGCTGAATACTGCCATGTTGCCCAGACCAATGTGGATGAACTTTCTTAAGGACTCCACCGGAGCCTTTGGCTAGCCAAAGCCTGGCCCGCACGGCAGCGGGGCGGTGGATGAAAACCACAATCCATTGGAAGTCGGTTTCCAGTGCATTGGATAATACGCCCTTGGACGGGGTCACACGTCCACTGTGCCCAGGACACCTCAATGCCCAATTGAGCCGGTGATCATTACCACAACTGGAAAGGTGTGTGGTTCGTATGCCTCCTCTAATTTGTTGAACAGAACTCTTTCTGAACGGTTTGATCGATTTCTTATCTATATTTGCTTCTTTAGTGATTTTATTAAATTCAAATGATCGTAAGGTTCTACATAAAGTTGAGGTAATTATAGCGCTCATGAGTAGTATCATTTAGACACGGAATATTCGCTTAATGGGGTCCGTTTTGTATCATTCTGCCGCTTAATCAACGTGGTCTCTAAACTCTTCAAGTCTTCAAGTACATCATCACACTATGCTCCTCTGGACTGACTAGGTGTTTTCCATCACGACGAGACCACCTTGACGTGGTGTGACGGCTTGTGCACCTCCGACTCAACGAGCTACACAGAATGGCTTGTGTCAAGTCGCAGACCTAATCATGCCTGAAAGGTCGAAGGGTAGAGGCCAAACGAAGTTGAGTTTCCTGGTCCTCCAGGTTGGGGATTCGACTCGAGTTAGCGTCTCAGTCGGTAAAATGGCAGAGGAGTATTGAGTCCAAGTAAATAGGCCTCTATTTCTCTCTACCCGCAGCTTTGCGGTCAGGTTCTTGTTAGAATTAAAGGCTTTGGTTGAGAACTCTAATCGTTCTCCCGATTAATGACTGGACACCCTGGTAGTGCCCATCCATCGGACTCTAATGCATACACAAACAAAAAGTAATTCCATACTGCATCAGTCGTCGCGCAGGATAATCAGGACTGCGCTGCCCATTGCATCGGGTGGGGTGGGCTAATGCGCAGACATCCCAAACTTGGCCTACCTCGTTGTCTCCCGTACCCAACCCTCTCCCTTCACCCCTTCTGACCCATAACATACCCTCAAACAACTTGTTTGTCACTTGTGAAAGTTCGTCGCCAAGTAGCCCGGTAAGTAACTTTCCACAAAATAGGTTGCAGATTCTTAAGCCTCGTCAAACAGAATCAACATGAGGACCCTTAACAAGCTCGTCTAACGCGTACGATGACGGCTTTGTTGTCATCCGGTTCAGTACCACGCCTAACCTACCGGGGCCTTATGTGGTTCGCCACCAATTTCCGAGGCTTAAGTTACCGGTTTCCATCACTGAACAGCAGGTCCTCGTGACTATGAGGTGCGCCCCGTCTGCTGTTCATCACACCTCTTTGGGATCGATATCTGTTGCGTATCGGATCCTAGTACTGTAAGCCACTCAAGTGCGCCGGGGGTGTCTTCGAGGTTCTTCCTTTGCATGTCAGGTGATGACAAGCTCATTCAGTAGGCCAGCGTGGAGTGAGGAGTGTACTCAGTACTACAGTTGAAACCGCACTACTCGATTGGATCCCCGTCAGCAGTCGCTTGTGTGTGATCCCGCTCCAAGGGTCTATCAGTGTCCGAAATGGAAGCAACACCAAAAGGTGTTCGTTCATCATTTCAGCGTATGCTCCGACGAACTGCAGTTGTGACGCACAAAAGAACGAGTTTTATGACAAACTCACCAAACTCATTTGGTTGAGCCGAAGCTCTGATATAGTTGCTATCGCAGCTGATTTCAATTAGAAAACTGTGCGCTCGGGAAGCTTGCCTAGACAGTCATTGTGCTCTGCTATGCCAACGAACAGATAATGGCTACGGACTTCTTCAGTAATGCGCGGATCATCATCTGTTCCTATCCGGCACCAGTTCCGACACAGCTCTCAACGGACAGCAAAGTGGCGCTCAAATTCAACTGGCACGCTAATTCAGATCAGTCACATAGCAGTAAGCTACCGTTGGCATGGCTCAGTACAAAACTGCAGGTCGTATTGGACCACCTGCGTTGAATCTAATCATGCGTTAGTTTTGATGCAGTTCATCAACTCACTGGTCGCCGAAAACCCACCAGACTCAATTAACAAATCGTTGGTTATCTGACCCAGCCGTCCGTGCCCGTTTTGAATCAGAACTAGGGCAAGGACAAAACGCGCCGCGGAGTGGTAGTGTAAATGAACAATGGAATCAGATTAGACCAGCAATGCACTTCACAGCGAAGGTTGCTTGTGGATCTGATGCAGTAGCCCGCCTGAGGTATATATATATATATATATAGTGACGAAAATACACTTCCTGGGTACAAGTGTATGAATGAACTGACAAAAGATTACCGGATACGCATGCCTGATGAGCGGCAAGAACCGCGAAACCGGTCGTATGGTTCCAGGGAAATTTTATCCAGTCATTCACATACTACTTATTATCATATATATATATGCGCAATATTGGTTTTCTCTTGGGTGCGAGATATCTCTTCAATTTCATTTATTTGTCACTGCAAAGCTGAAATTCATCTCGTAAACTTAGGGTAGAGTTTCGTCTACAACTGTCCATTAACCAATTCATTACCTTTATTCCGTTGCTTCCAACAGCGTCAGCGTGGTATGGTGCGGGTTTATCAGGTTGTGGCTGATCACCCTTTCCTTGCATCTCGCAGATTGCTCCTATACGATCGAGCATCTCAACCTCTACTGAGGAAGCCCCACTCACTGCCTTCTCGTAGCAGAGGTGTTTTCCCACCAAAGTGAGTGGACGAGAAGACAACATCCGGGATTTTAACCGGGTCAGTGAACCACTAGAAGTGCAACTAGGGGAGTTGGCTAAAGACTGATTCCAAACGAACCAAGCGTACACACACTTTGATCATGGTGGTGGTCATCGGCTTGATTGAGCATCGAGGTGTTGGGCACCTTGGACGTTTGACGTATGATCCGATGTACTGTACATCGGCCTCCAATGGATTACGGTTTCCGCACACTGCCCCGCTGCTGTGCCGGTCAGTCTTCGGCTAGCCGAAGGCTCCGTTTGTTCATTTTCTCGCTCACACAAAAATTGTGGAACATTTTTATCAAGATTATTGTACTGTGATTTGTTTGACACAGTTTGGATTCAGACCTGTGTAAAACACAAGTTCAATATCTTATTCCGTTATGATTATGGTTTTTTATTCAACTCAATTCGCCTCTTCCGTCTGCCATCTATTGGTGCCCCTGAGGTCCTGTACACACGCTCAGGTCCCGCGCGCAGAACCAACAAGCCGGTTCGAGCTTGAATATGCTCTTCATCATTTACCTATGAAGTTGAACCCACTTGTGTCTAATAAAACTCATCCTCAGTGTCTGTTTGTTTGTTTTAAACTTCTTTTATACCAGCTTCTTATTGTTCATATTATCACATTTTCAGAATCCCTTTACCCCGACCTGCGATGATGGCCACAGATGAAGACATAACCGATGCCCCAGTTGAAGGTTTGATATTCTTAAATCGTTGTCATCAAGAATTATAGGTTCGGCCTTTTTACGGCACTACACATATCCTTATGAAAAAGCATGTGAAATAAAAGTCCAAACCGCTGAGGTCCTGATTGTATGTAATTTTGTTCAGGTGAAAAATTCTCTGTTTCCTAGGATCCACAAATAGGTTTTTACAAAACCTCAGTCTCTCACGGATTTCCACGAATCGAGTCAAAGAATGTGAGTTTTTCTGTTGTTGTTGAGCCTTAATCCACACTCTGTGCACAGCCGGTCGATGTGAAACTGGGTCCGTACGAAACTGAAGTGTACAATATTGTTTCGAATTACGAAGATTTGCTTTTGTGTCGACGACATCCAGAAGACCAAAATATGCGTCTCATCTACTGTGCACACGCACTAAATCATTGTCTAAGGTATGCAATCCCACTACTTCTAATTTTGCCTGATAGGTCACGCAAGCTTATTGTCAAGAATAATGAAAAAGAAAAACGGATCGGTGTCTCTGAGTAAGTCTGTTTTCGAGTCGTTGTCTATCGGTTTTATTATTCAGTCAATCAGTAATTCATTCTTTCAGTTAGTCAATGAATCAATCAATGGCTGAAGTAGTCAACCATTTTAATCAGCCCACAGAAACTGCAAATGTTTCACCTCTCCTTCACATCAGATATTTTTTTAATTTTTCACATACGCCTGAGTTCAGACTGTTTGCCAAACCAATAAGGGTACAATAATCTTTGTAATCGAGACGAAAAGATACATACTTTACCCGAGAGCACGATACTACCAGGTTGCACAGATCAAACCAGGTAAATTTTCTTAGGGATTTCACAACTGGAGCCTTCGGTTAACCGAAGTCTGATCAAGTAGGGCGGCGCGTGGAAACCACAATCCACTGGGGGCTGGTGTTCAGTTCATCGGATCTTACGCCATTTGGATGGATTCAAACGCCCAAGCTGCCAAACACACCTCGATACCTAATCCAGCCGGCGACCACTACCATGAACAGGAAGGTGTAGGTGGGTGTGGTTCGTACGCCTCTTCTTGATTCGTTTGGAATCATTGTTTGTATCCGACTCACCTAGATGAACTGCCACTGGTTCACCGACCCAGATATGGGCTTTTTGCCCTTTGGTGGAAAAACACCTGTGCTACAAGAATTTTTTTATATTGTTTAGTACAAAATGTGAATTACAGTAAAAGGGGAAATCCCCACGGGCAAACAGCATATTGTAAAAGAGTAACATTCACGTAATATCCAGTTTATTGATTCTGAATTTAAAATGTGTAAGATTGTAAGTTGGGGGAAAAACAGCAAGTGGGAGGGTGTTCCATAGTTTAGCAGTTCGGAGGAAAAAAGAGGATTGGAGCAGAGAGGTACGACACCTGGGAACAGAAACCGGATGAGGATGACTAAACCTTTTCAACTTCAAGTGAATCCGTTGTAACTTCAAGTGAATCCAACCAATCGCACTCCATTAGAAACCCCAGAAGATTATCGGCAGGCAAATGTCACCCATCGGACTGGGTCAGTCTAAACCCCGTCCAGTCCGAAAGAACTCACTTCCCCGTAAACAAACAAAAGTACTTTTTGAGTGAGTTACCCAGTAAGGTTGAGTGTTTCGCGGGCAGGGGTGGGGCGGTTGAGGTGGGCCGTTCTCCTCCCGGCCCGCACACACCCGGGAACGTTATGTTCGTGATCGTTGATCGAGTGTGCGTCATAGATACGAATGAACGAACCCGGAGTTCATTGACCTCTGTCCTTCGGGTAAGGAAGCGAATCACGTCAAGATGGATCGATAAGTCGGTTACCATGCCCAGGCTTGAATGTGAGCATGATTCTTTGTATGAGTGGAGTCAGTCTAAGCCCACAATAACCCAAAGAGTAAATTCCATTAAAGCCGAGATTCTCTCGAATAAAACCGATTCCTTTGAATCAGATGCGATTGCTTACGCATTTCTGACATTGAAATACATACTTGACAAGATACTTAGCATGCATAAGATGATAGGGGTGACTACTGTAGTTAGTTTCTCCGCTCGAGTCCAACTGTTCGTGATTATTTTGACCAAACTGGAATCGACCGCAACGGTTGATAGCTCGTACCATTTACACTCTAACGGTTAGCAGAATGTCGACCTGCCCAACCTAGTGTACTGTTTTTACATAATCGTTCGGTTTTAACGATGTATGAACTTTCTGCCTCGATTTTTCTTTAATCACCACGTGCCCTGGAAAAGACTGCCTATCGAGAGATTGTTTCGGTATTAAATTATCGACAAACGCAAAGTGGATTACCAGCATACTGCAATTGTAAATGTGCCCTAAAGTCTACGAACTATCTAATGCACCCGGTCTATCGACTCCAATCATGATAGAACTTTCCGACTTATGTCACCCATTCACAAAATAGTTCAGTGATTAGACAAAGATCAAATGTATTAAAAATCAAGCATTTTGATAGCTGTCGGTTAGTTGCATGCTCACAATAATCCTTCGTGATACGAGACTAGGCATCACTAGCAATGCTTTCCAGACATGCCATCCTCCAGTCCTGTTCGTTCATTTACCCTTCGGGATCACCCGTCATAATCTTGGCATGCTGATTTCGGAGCTCCGTTTTGACGTAACTTTCCGTAATGCTCCATATCATTTCGATCGGATTGAACGCTGGAGAATATGGAGCAAGTCTGAGAATGCTCACTCTTCCTGCGGCAACGACGTTTTCCAGTTTGGAATGACGGGGTGCGTTGTCACACACAATCACATATGATTTGTGCTCTTCTTACAATAATTGATCAACTAGCGTTTGCAGCCATTGCATGTATTAAAACCATGTATTAAAAATCATTGACAAGTTCGGATTCTTGTTCAAGTACTAAACTTTGGGGAACACCAGCGTTCACAGGGAATGGCTGAGGTAGAACCCCATCAACTCGGACGGAGATGATTCGCTTACTGAGGAAACTTGATATCCACACTACGAGCACTTAAGGGTACCCGAACAGTAGACCTTCGTGCCAAACTCGGTCGAAGGCCTTTGAGATGTCAAGCGAGACCAAGTGTGTTTCTGCGTGGTTATCGAGTGAAGCTGACTAGGAATGTAAGGCAAGAGCCAGCAGGTCACCGGTGGAACGACGATGTCGAAAGCCCTACTGGCGGTCGCTCAGTAGTCCTTCACGTTCAAGGAACGTGCGTAGCTGCCCAGAGATGACAGTTTCGAATACTTTTGAAAGAACAAATGTGAGGGAAATGGGTCGGTAATTGTTAGGGTCAGAAAGGTTGCCGTGTTTCGGAGCGGGGAAAATCACGGCGTGTTTCCAGGGTTGAAAAACTGAAAAGACGACATAAAATAGGAGCCTGATCGGGAGCACACAATTTGAGGACGTTGGGTGGAATGCCGTCCGGACCGAGTGGTTTGTTCGCTTTTAGAGAGCGCCATGTTTGACGGATTCTCCTAGTGCTTATACGAAGTAGAAAAGGGTTGCCAGTGAAGATGGAAGAAGGGGGTGTAGAAAAATGGGTTAAGGTAGAATTGGCGGCAAACTGGGAAGCAAAAGCCTTAGCTTTCTCGTTTGGTTGATCGCCAGAGGAATTACAGATAGGGGGAAGTTGGAAGGGCAAAAATTACAGGAAATCGCTTTTGCAAGGGACCAAAATGTTCGGCTACCGGTGGCGGATGAGACCAAGTATTCGGCTTCACGGTGAACCAGGCGTTCTTTTTTCTCTGGAAGGTCGTCAAGCATCTTTTCCTAGCTTGCACGAGGCGATAGTGGGTGAGGGGATTGGGCGAGCGGCGGAAGGCTGAACGTTCAGGCGTACAGCACGATCACATGCATGGTTAAACCACTCAAGGGATTTGGGTTTGCCGGGTTGGGAAAAGTGCCTAATAAAAAAGGTGCACACCTTGAAGAACAATGTCGGTGAAGTTGGAAACAGGTTTCGAAATATTCGGAGAGAAACAGCAGTCGTTCTAGGAATAAGTAGCTAGGAACTCACGGAAACCGTCCCAGTTGGCTGAGTTGTAGCGCTGAAATGTGTCTGTTTAAGAACCTAATAGAACAAGAAACAATACAGTGATCTAATGAGCCAAGAGAAGGGAGAGTATCAATATCTGAGAAGAAAGATGGGACCGAAGTAAGAATTAGGTTGAGAGTGTGGGCACGGTCGCCAGCTCGATCAGGCACACGTGGGAGGAGATCAACTAGTTGTCTCAGTTTGTTGACCAAAGCAAAGTTTTCGGCTTCGTGTCTCAAAGGAGAAGTAGCAGATGAATGTGTCAACCAGTCCTGATTGTGAACGTTAAAATCGCGCAAAATGGTATCATGGTAGTTGGGGTCGTTTGCAAACACGTGTTCAATGTTCGAGGATAGAAAATCAAAGATGGAGGAGTCGCCACTATTTGGGGAACGATACAGAACACAAAAGTAATGAATAAAAGAAGGATATCGTAGTTTCAGCTACACCAGCTGAAATTCACGATTGGAAAAGCCAAGGTTTGGTATCCTGGAGACGGCGACCGATTGGTGACTAAGGCGCAGACACCAGCTTTGGGTAGTAAGGAGGAGTGTTGTTAGGGAATTGAAGGTGAGTGGTGTCTGACGAGGGGGAGATTTGTGTTTCGGTCGAAAAAAAGGACCAGCGGAGAAGTAGAATGGAGGGAATGATGTACAGAATCAATATTGCGGTTCATTCCGCGAATGTTGGTGAGGGTGGTGAGTGCATGATTCCAGTGTGAGTGCGTAGAGCGAGCGAAAGAACGTGATCGTTTGTGATTTTGTGCTGTCATGTTTGTGTTATGAGGAAACCGGCAACCGTGATCCTGAAACTTGGAGTGGCGGATCACATAAGGACTCAATAGATCAGGCGTGGTAGTGAGCCGGGCAACGGTAGAGCCGCCTACCACCTAATGTATTGAGCAGAACTTCCGGAATAGAAGCTGTTGGATCTGCTGTTGGACCTACACTCCACTGCTTTGTGGGTCAGACTTTTGAGTTGAAGGCTCCAGTTAGGGGGATCAAAGAAAAACCCCTTCGTCGGTGTGGGCAACCTCAAAGTACGCCGTGCCCCAAAGTCTAAGGTACCCATTTGGAAAACCATCTTTCTCAACCGTCCAATCCCTCTTCTCACTCCCAAATCTTGGGAGATGCATCCTGTTTGCGCTACCCACTCAGCGTTCAACTAATGAAGTCGACCACCCAGAGGCTATCAGATTTTTAAAACCAAAATCTCCTTTTCACTTAACCGCATCGGTCAACAAGCTGCCGTAGCTAGAACCCTTGAAACCTTCCATTTAGATGTATGCTGTATCTCCGAAACGCGTACAAGATCCTACTTCAATCATCTTATGTTCTCTAGATCCCATCTCATCCTTACGCTTCACTCTCCGTGTGTCAGGTGATTCGGCATCCGAAGCTCGCGGTTTTGCTGGTGTTGGGATTACGCTGAGTGTCAAGGCCGAGCGTTCACTTCTCGACTGGATCCCGGTTAACAACCGACTTTGTGCTGTATATCTGGATGGTTCAGTACGGATCAACAGCTACAGATCTAAGCGTCGATGCTTATTCGTCGTATCCGCGTATACACCGACTGATTGCAGTAGGACAGAAGTGAAGGATGAGTTCTACAAGGGCCTCTCTCACCTGCTCCAAAATGCTCGGTCAATGGGTATAGTGATGGTCGCTGGTGACTTCAATGCTCAAGTGGGATCCCTGGACGAATCACAAAGGCTACTTCTTGGTTCACGTGCAACCCTAGCTATCCGAACTGACAACGGAGAACGCCTACTGCAACTTTGCTCTGACCACGGACTGTTTCTGTCAAGCACAAACTTCTCGCACGAGAAACGGCACCGCTGTACATGGAGACCGCCAACTTTTCCACAGCGCTGAACTCAAATCGACCACATTGCCATCATCCAACGCTGGCGAGGATCCATTAAAGACTGCCGCTCGTACTGGTCAACACTCGTGGACAAGGACCATGCTCTGCTACGAGCGAGATTCTCCCTACGCCTAGTAAACAACCGCCGAAAACCCACGAAAAACGGATGCCTACAATACAGAGTCAGCAATGGTTGCAAATCCGTCTTCGAAACGGAACTATCGGATCGTCTCTCAGCTCAATCATCAGCCGAAAGAGTCAGTGAACACTGGACAGCAATCAAAGAAGTGATTCAGATGTCAATAAAAACAACGGCGGATACTGACCCACGATAAAAAAAACGATGGATCTCCCCGACCTCTTTTACCTTGCTGGACACTCGCAAAGCCATTCATTAAACGCGAGAAGTGGCGGTTGGGAAAGTGTAGAGAGATGGAGAAGGCTGCGGCTGTTGGTAATAGTCACCATGCATTTTCGTTTAATCAGGAGTACAGGTCCAAGTAAAATAGGCGTAAGTGAGGTAATTATGGAGTCCGAAGGCACACTGATTCATTTTCAGCAATGCCGTCCAGATCGGTGGGCAGAAAATTGTGAGGCTTAGATTAGCTGGCCCGCGTCAGTACAAGATCTCCCTTAACCAGTTCAACTGTGCAAATAGTGCCAGTTGACATCAGTCCTCCATCTGAAATTGAGGTTACCCGAGAAATAAATTATCTCAAAAGTTATACGGCTTCCGGCCCCGACGGGCTGTCCTCATCGGTTTTCGAGAATGGAGGTTTAGCCTTGGTTTTGGAGTTAACAAAACTCTTGGGATCAGTATGGGAAAGGGAACAGGTTCCAACAAAATGGTATGAATTGGTGATCATACCGATTTACAAGAAGGGCGACAGATCCTCTTGTGAAAACCACAGAGGAATTCGTTTAATCAACGTTTCCTCCAAACTTCTCACTGGAATTATACTCCGTCGATTTTTTGCCGCACGTGAGAACCAAGTTGGTTTTAAACTGGGTCAAGGTTGTATCGACCACGTTTTCATTCTTTGTCGAATTCTAGAACACAGATACTCGTTTCGTAAACCCGCCATTTCCATGGTCCTCGATCTGAAAGCGTCTTTCGATTCAGTCGACCAGTCCAAACTCTGGTGCTGCCTTTTCCTGACGGGTGTACCTGAGAATTTTATTTCAATATCACAATCCCTTCATACTAATAGATGAAGTCGAGTCCGAGCTTACGGCACTTTTTCATCCGAGTTCACTACAGAAAGTGGCATTCGACAGAGTTGCCCTTTCTCTCTCGGTTTCTATTCAACTTGGTGTTAGATTTGATTCTTGAAACAGTCCTATCCTCGTGCGAGGATAACGATATCAGTTTACTCCCGGGTGGCAGACTGTCTGATCTAGAATATGCAGATGACATTGTGCTACTAAGTTTAGATCCAGGTTTGTTTGCAGGCTTTTCTGGATAATTTGAATGCTAGTGTAGCCATGTTTGGTTTGGGTTTTGCACCTTCAAAGTGTAAAATGTTGCTACAAGATTGGTTTTGTCCAGCCCCCAACCTCACCCTGATTGGGGTAGTGGAGAGCGTAGACAAATTTTGCTCTCTGGGCAGCTATGTCTCACCTGACGAACGCATCACAGATGAAGTGTCAGCTCGCATACAGAAGGCTCGGTTGGCATTTGCCAACTTGAGACATCGGTGGCGCCGTCGCGACGCCCGTCTGTCTGTGAAGGGTAGAGTATATGCTGCAGGCTTGACCATTACGGGAACTGGATAAAAATAGATTATCGGTGTTCGAACACTGGTGTCTCCGCATCATTGGACGAATCTAGTGGGGTAACTAGGGGACCAATGCTGAGGTCAGGCTTAGAGTTTCAGGCAGTCACTGTCGTCCA